GCTGTGGCCTCTCCCGTTGCGGAGCACAGACTCCGGACGCGCAGGCTCAGCGGCCATGGCTCACGGGCCCAGCCGCTCCGCGGCATGTGGGATCTTCCCAGACCGGGGCACGAACCCGTGTCCCCTGCATCGGCAGGCGGACTCTCAACCACTGCGCCACCAGGGAAGCCCCTATTAGTGGTTTTTTAGGCTAGGGTCTATGAACTATACTTGTGATTCCTGGGGATCTTTTAAGCAACCTGTTACTGTTGGAGGAAAAGCAGAATGGTGAAGCAATTTTATTCCTAGTTCACATACTTGAAATGTAAGGTTAGTTATCGTTTCCTCTGAAATTCCACCAAGTTTGAAACTTGGACACATTAGTTTATACACAGATGACAGAGTTTGTGTTAGCTTGTCTCAGATCGCAGTCACCAGGGTGCAGTTTATCTGTCTTCTGTGTATTGCTTGTAAATTTGCATTTTCTATTGTTTTACTGTGTTGCATTGTATTTCAAATTCACAAAAATAGCGCGGTGGTTCAGAAGTGATTTGCTGGATAGTAAAACCTGTAATGAAAACAGAAACAAGACTACTACAACCCATTAAATAATAAAGAGGAGTGCTGCATCCCAGTTACAAAGAATGAAAATCCTTGTGACAGTGATTTTGCACAAGCAGGGCAAGTGTAAAAAGATTTCAATAACCGACATCTGGAAATTAGGCTTAAGTGAATGATCCATTTACTGCTAGTGTCTAGTGTGTTACCTGTTGGTGTAAAACGTTGTCAAATGGTGACCTAAGCCATTTATACTTTAGTGAGTTTTCAGATAAAGCCCAGAGACCTCTCTGGTAAGCTAGTTAAGTTTTCTAGAACATTTGCAAAATAATCTTTATCATGTTGATGAATTTGGTCACTAAAGGTAGAGCAGAGGACAGAACCATTGAAGCAATTCAAAATTACATTTCTTTTAGCAAATTATCAAGAAACCAAACTTGTAAAAGAAATCGTATAATTATTGACAAATATTTTTGATCAAGGAGAAAGCAGGAGCTTCTCGGCAATATTCCTTAACAAATCTCTCTGTTGGACATAGGCTGAAATACCAGTTACTCTCACATATGTATGCTTGATAGCATATTTCACTTTGTAGCTGCACAAAAGCACTTACGTGCTGAGTACTTCTTCCATACAGTTCTTTTTATGTGTGTGGATCATTTGAAGGAAAAGTCTTGACCAATTCTTTTGTGGATCAGTGAAAACCTAAGTGAAAAGAGAAGGGTTAGCATTTAGTGAGCTGGGTTGTAGACTGCAGAAGTTGCCTTTGAATCATTACTGAATTTTTTAATATATATACTGCAAGGAATGATACTGCTATGTGAATAAATAAGATCATACCTAATGCCCAGTCACTCATTGCTTCATTCTCCATGACATCTGTGGTCAGTAACAACCTCCGATCTTGATTCGGTTTTAAAGGAATACTGAAAACGGGGACTATCATAAAATCTTGGCTATTGAAAGATGTTTCTTTAGCATACAGTGTGAAGAATTGGTGGGAAGTATATCTTTCACACTGAAATACAATGGATTTGAGGGAGAAGTTGTTCAAACAAGTTTCTTTTAAAAGGTGATATCGGTAATGTTAATGTCTGGCTAAAATAGCAACAGTTTAAATGTTGAAGATAAGCAGATTTTCTGGAAAGACCAAACTGTATTTCAAGCAGTTCACTGACCAGAAATCTGACTTTCCTAAACCCTGTTTTAGCCCTCATTGGTTATTGGACAAAGGGTTCAATGACATATTATTGGGCAAGTTTAACATACAAATATTACATCCAAATATGAAGAATACCTTCCAACGCAAGCATATCCAAAGAGTATATTAAGAACCCATTGCTATTACCCCTCAAGTTGAAACTTCCAGTCTTCTAAACTTTTAGTGTGATTAGATCAGCAGTCTAGAATTTGTCTGAGAGCTGGGCATAGTCTTCTTGGAGAAATGCTTTTGTAAGGTTGGATCCAGTAATTAATCTGAACGTCTCTGACACATCACCCAATGCTTTGTTCCTTCCCCCAGTCAATGATTGTGACTTAGGATTTTTTTTAATTTAATAGAAATAAAAAGTAAAAAAAAAAAAAAAAAAAAAAAAAAAAAAAAAAAGGAAAACTAGAAATGGAAACTGTCTTGTGGTTCAAGCTACATGTCGTGGAGCCCAGTACATGTGTTCATTAATTAATTCTTAATCTAACAAGTATTTATTGAAAGATTATATTTCTCCTTATGTTTTCCTCTGTGTTTTTGGCCCCTCCTTTTCTGTTTCCTTTAAGTGGACTCATTGTCCTTTTTGTGGGCCACTCAATGTTGGAGTTTCACAAGACACGGTCCTAGGACTTCTCTTTCTGTATTCTCTTCCTAGGCTGTCTCAAAGGTAACTCTGGTTTAAATTACCACCGGTAGGCAAACTTACAAATTTATATCTTCAACTCAGACCTCCCCTACGTTTGCTTGTAATCCCTCAAAGATAACCCAAACTTATTATGTCCAAAACTGAACTCATGATCTCCACCCCACCTGCTTGGTACATTGCCCACCTAATGCCCTTCCAGTGCCCTCTCTCAGTGAATGACACTGTTCCCAAGTTGTGCAAGTCAGAAACCTCAGAGTTATCCTTGACCCCTCCCTCTCCTTCCTTCTCACCATCTAGTCTGACCTCGAGTTGTGCTGATTTTATTTCTTACATATCTTTTGAGAATGTTTGCTTTTGTCTTTTTCCGTCATGATCCTGTAGACAGCACTACTATTATCTCTCCCTTGGACTACCCCAGTAGCCTTCTAACCCGTCTTTCTGCACTTTGCATCCCTGCGTGCATGCGCGCACGCACACACACACACGGATGCACACACACAGAGTTTAAAAAGTCATCAAGGATGCAAAATATGTCTGATTATGTTATCCTCCTATTTAAGCTTTTAGTTGGCTTTCCCTGTTTTTTGTAGTCTAGAGATCAAATTCATTAACATGGTGTACAGGCCCTACTTTGTTCCTCCACCCCATGGTCCACCAACTCTCCCCAGCTTCTCCCTGCTCTCCTCATCCCCTACTCCTCCAACTTCACTGACTTTCTTTCATCTGCTCCTATTCCTACTCTATATAGTCTAGTTCATTTATTTTCACTATTATTATATGCCATTGTACAAATAAGCCACAGTTTACCCATTTTCTTGTTAATAGACATCTACTACAGTTAGTTCATTTCTGTTAGTTTATATTTAGATTGTTCCTGTTGTTTTAGTGTTTCTTTTTTTTTTCCAGTTAGCTTTTTGTTTTTGCTGTTCAGACAATGCTGCAATGATTCTTATTATGTATATCTTTTTGTGAAGATGTATAGAAGAGTATATCTCTCCAAGTAGAATAAGGTTGAAGGGCATGCATATCCTCAATTGTATTAAATAATGCCAAATTGCTCTTCAGAGTGGCTGCATCAATTTCTACTTCTGCTAACATTGTATGCGATTTACTTTTGCTTCACATTCTTGTCAGCACTTTATATTATCAGATTTCTTAATTTTTGCCAACCTTATAGGAGCAAAATGGCATCTTGTTTTAATTTCCATGATTTCTTTATAGCGAGATTGGACATCTTTTCAAATTTAATCTATTTTATGTTTAGTATCTTCTCTCTGAAATTATTTGATTTGGTATCTCAAACAATTTTATTTACTTAGCACCAACTTGAGCCCAAATTTGTACAAGGCCTTGGGAAAGACTCTAGTACTTGGTACCAGTTCATAAGAAATAAGAATCTTATAATTCATGTACGAAGACAAATTTTGGCAAAGTGGCACAGCCTTTTATTTTGCAATGAATAACTGACTGTAAGTTGTCAAGTTTGGAAGTAATACTAAACAATCATTTTTTTAGGTAGAAATCATCAATATATACTAATTTAATTATGTTCAGATTTCTTTCTCTGACTACTGTTTCATGGGAAGAACTTAAGAAATTAGCCTAAGTTGTTATACTGGTACTAACAGTAACTTTATAAAATATTTTGGTGTCCCAATACGATGTCTCAAGTAAAAGAGGAGTGAAATGGTGATCCTAGAAATTAAAAAGCTGAGAGTTTAATCTATAAGATTCTGTTGATATAGCTCCATGACTGGCGTCTCTGAGACAAAGTCTAGACAAGGTCCTAACTATCTCTTGGAGCTGAACGTCACCTGCAGGGTACAGCACAGCACCCACACTCCACATTAATAGGCCAGTAAACTGCTGTCAGTGATATAGGTCAAATTTTTACAGAGTTCACGGTGAAGGTAAAGAAGGCCTTCTGCCCCTCGTCAAACCCAAATCAGAGCAAAGTACTTGAAAGGCCAAAAAGGTTGTGTTAAAAGGCACAAACAAACGTCACCCTCCTTTTATGAGCTCAGTCTACTATGACTTTGATGGCAGCCTGGAAGAGCTCTCCTGGGGGGAACAAGCTTGACTACAGCCTTTGTCAAGCTCCCCGTGGCCACAGAGTTGTTCCCCATCTGCCTCAAGATCGAGGAAGTAGTGAAGAAGTCCTGTGACACTGATGAGTCCAAGGGCAGCATGGTGAGCAGGGCTGGTAGAGAGAGGATGATAGGTGTTCGGCCCCTGGCTGTGCTGCTTTGAGAGTAAATAGAATGGGGATTGTCTAAGCCATGTCCACTTGACTGCTTCTAAATAGAACAGATTTTTCCACCATCCAAAAAAAGTAATAGTAGGCAGAAGGAATGGAAGAGGTAGGAAGGAGCAGAGTAGTTGAGAGAAGGAATAATTAAGGCAAATATGTATTGATTAGCACTAATGGAGTTTGCCTAATCCTGACCCTAAGCTCTAACCAGGAAGGACTGAACTGAAAAGTAAATACCTGTCCCCAGAATTGAGGATTGTTCACTAACTTCAGTTATCTGGAACAAAGCCAAGAACCAAGGAGGAAACAATAGAGGCCTCTGAACAACTAACTAGAACAGCTGTCACAAAGTCCAAACAGTGAAGTCCCTGCCATTTAGTCATAGAAGACCCATCTCAAGCCTTCTCTCCACACTTAACTTCTTTAATTCAACACACAATCTTACCAAACTCTGGCCTTAATTTTCAGCTGACAGCAAAATTGAAACAGTAGTTTGGAAGGCATTAGTGAATTCAGAGCCCTCCTGCTAAATTTGGGCATGCTAGGAACATCGTGATGTCACAGTTTAAAAATGAGAAAGGAGGGCTTCCCTGGTGGCGCAGTGGTTGAGAATCTGCCTGCTAAGGCAGGGGACACGGGTTCGAGCCCTGGTCTGGGAAGATCCCACATGCCGTGGAGCAACTGGGCCCGTGAGCCACAACTACTGAGCCTGCGCTCCACAACAAGAGAGGCCCCGATAGCGAGAGGCCCGCGCACCGTGATGAAGAGAGGCCCCCGCTTGCCACAACTAGAGAAAGCCCTCGCACAGAAACGAAGACCCAACAGAGCCCAAAACTAAATAAATAAATAAATAAATTTTAAAAGGAGAAAGGAAAAATAGGACTGAAAATTAGAATCAGGAACTAAGATAATAGTGTGGGCCTATTTAATATGTGCACAAACTTCTGTTTTCCTTACTTGTGCCTGGACATACAATACATACAATAATTGACTTTTTTTTTTTTTTTTTTACAACAACTTTCCATCTCAGGGTAAACTTCTTATCTTGATCTAAATGTTCAGCTCTCCTTTCCCCCTCACCTCTTTCCCCCTCTCCTAAGGAAGAGCAAGCACGGATAAGGTTGGCATCCTTGCTGGTAAAGGTCTCTTCTGGGTGAAAAGGCCAAATATGTATAAGAAGCTCACTGTCTTTCCCTCTTCTGCTCCCTTTGACTCAGTGGGCTAGTGCAGAAGACTTGGACTTTAGTCCAGTCTCTTTCCTCTGTACAACCAACTAGAACATTAGAGTTTAGGAAAAAGTTATGGGGAGTCAGGAAGAGGAAGAAACATCATAGCCCTTTACTGAATCCACACGCTAGTACCATTGGCCCCGATTTTCTAGATTTAGAATGTTAATGACAAACCTGGCTGATAGTTCAAGTGTTTCCTTGGGAGTAAGGGTGATTGACGGGGCAGAATTCTGGCTTTTCATTGTCCCGAGTCAATATACGACTTAAAACCCCCTCACCACTTCTTCCATCGGCAACCACTCTTCCTCTTTCCACAACTGCTTGTCACTTTTAGCCAGCACACACTCAGCTTATACACACATTCATGCCGTTGCTTGTTTTTCTAATTTTTTCTCACTCCTTGTCAAAATCTACTGAGGGATAAAATAGATAACCAACCAGGACCTACTGTAGAGCACAGGGAACTATACTCAATATCTTGTAATAACCTATAATGGAGAAGAATCTAAAAAAGAATATATGTGTATATATATGTATGTGTGTGTATAACTGAATCACTTTGCTATACACCTGAAACTAATACAACATTGTAACTCAACTATATCTCAATAAAATTTTTGTTTTAAATGCTGAAGGAGAGGAAACCATGGATAGAACAATGTATTCAAGACATTGAGATGTAGGAACCCGATGACTGTATATTATTGTTTTAACTGGAATAAGAAATTCCTTTCTGATGAGAAAGGGGTGGTATTTCTCTGGCTTCATCTCCAGGTGGAAGTGGAGCGGCCTTCTGTTCAGGTACGGTTTTTGTTAAGTGCCCCACTTTTCACAGGACAATTTTAACACTGTTCCCCAGCTCATCTCAGTTCTCCGTAGAACAGAAGAGCTACATCCTAGACTCCAGTCAAGGACTAAATTCATGAATTCAGCACCACTCAATCAAGTAAACAAACAAAAGACTGTTTTGTAGGGGAGTGCCTGAAGGATGTGTAGCTGTCCGTTCCTTTAGATTACTTATTCTCAAACATGGAGCTGCCAGTATGTTTTAATTAGTGATCAGATATGTCTCAACCAGTTTGCTTCTAAGAATAAACTACTGAACTGGTCGATAACATCATAAAAATTAACAAGAGTACATTCAAGATTACCCATGTGACAATTTTGTTCTCACTCTGTTGCAATTTGATGTTCTTTCTTGAGACAGAAGAGAAAGAAGATAGAATGAAGGAGCCAGTGTGGCATACTCATGCTACAACTTAATGGGCCACACTTCCTGGAGGTACCTATGCCAGTTACAAAGTAAGGCAGAAGCCCTCTGGTAATCGAAAAAGTAGGTTAAAGTGAGGAATTATTAAAAATTATATAAGCATTTAACATTTAAATTGAGTACATAAATATACATTCATCAACCAATCCTTTCATTTATGTGCAAAGCTTTATTTATTTACTCTTTTAAGTTTGGGTCTACTGATTGGCTTTGTTTATCTTGTACAAGTCGTACTCGTAAACCCATGTTTCCTGCTATTTCTGATTGGTTTCTTATTTTAATTAATGGAGAATTTAAAGACTCCCGGGAAGTGATCTGAGAGCAGAATCCTAGATTTTCTTTTAATCTTTTACAGTCTTCTTGCCCACACCTAACAGGACAGCAGTCTCTTTAACAGCTCTTATCTAGTATTTAGAAAGTATTCAATTTGGTTTGGTTTGTTAAACAGCATACTTGTCCTTCATTGGTTTATGTAAATTTAATCTTGCTGGACAGACCTTAAGGCAACCCCAGTGATCCCTGCCTTTTGGTGTTCATACCTTTGTATGATCACTTCCCTTTGAGTGTGAGCAGGATCTGTGACTGGTTTCTAACCAGTAGAATTAGGAAAAGATGATGAGCGTTCACTCTCACGATCACATTATGTTATATAAGACTGTCCTGCTAGCCAACTTTCTCTAGAGATTATCCTTGCTGGCTCGATAAAGTAAAACTGCTGTGTTGGAGAAGCTTACTTGGCAAGACCTGTGAGCAGTCTCTAAGAGGTCAGGGCAGCCTCCAGGAGAGCCAGCAAGAAACCAGGGTCCTCAGCCCTAGGGCTGTAAGGAAATGAATTCTGCCCACAGCCTGGGTTAGCTTGGAAGTAGATTCTTCCCTGGTCGAGCCTCTGGATGAGAGTGCAGCCTGGACAGCACCTTGATGGCAGCCTTGTGAGACCCCCAGCAGAGGACCCAGTTAAGCCGTGACCACAATGCACAGTGAATACTGACACACAGAAACAGTGAGATAATAAATGTGTGTTGTTAGAAGTTGCTGGGGTGTGGTAATTTGTTACTTAGCAATAGAAAACTAATACATTAGTTGAATGATCTATTTGCAGTAACAACTGTAACTGACAGACATGTCTGAAATCTAAATAACCTTTGGTAAGCATGCTGCTTAACCGCAGAAGTGTAGGGGCACAGGAAGCACCTCGAACAGTGAGCATCGAGGGTGCACAAGTGTGCTCAGCAGGTTTTGCAGAGGTGATGCCGAGTGACAGTTGGTTTCATGGAGGCCAGTTACAAAGGCTTCTAGTGCTTGTGAATTGTGACTGTATAGTCACATCTAACAACTTAACAGATAAATAAAATTTTAATAAGAAAGCAACACTCAATGAAGAAAACAGAGGCAGTTCATTTACATGTAAGTATAGGAGAACAAGATTGTTACTGGGGACTTTTCTATTAGAAATACATAATACTACTACTCAGCCATAAAAAGGAATGAAATAACGCCATTTGCAGCAACGTGGATGGACCTAGAGATTATCATACTTAAGTAAGTCAGAAAGAGAAAGAAAAATGCCATATGATATCACCTATACCTGGAATCTAAAAATATGGCACAAAGGAACTTATCTATGAAACAGAAACCGACTCACAGACATAGAGAACAGAATGTGGATGCCAAGGGGGATGGCAGGTGGGGGGAGGGATGGAGTGGGAGTTTGGGATCAGCAGATGCAAATTATTATTTATAGAATGGATAAACAACAAGGTCCTACTGTATAGCACAGGGAACTATATTCAACATCCTGTGATAAACCATAATGGAAAAGAATATGAGAAATAATGTGTGTGTATGTATAACTATCACTTTGCTGTATAGCAGAAATTAACACAGCATTGTTAATCAACTATACTTCAATAATTTTTTAAAAAAGAAATACATAATAGTGATAATACTAATGAGTGCAAATGAAACTTACAGTAATGCTACTCATATTAATAATAGGTCCAATAACTTTAAAATCTATATAGGACAGCAAAACCAAAATAGGGACTATCTGTATTTATTTTTTATAATACGTTCCTGGGGTGCAGGGTGGAGATTCAGGAAAAAAAGTCAATATTTTTAAAGAATAAAGTTTAACATTTAAAAAATTAGTTACAAATAGGTATATTTCTTATAAAATGATATTTTAAATGTTTAAATGGACGATTTTATTACTCAGTGCTTATAAAATGGGTTTATGAAAGCCATGGAGAAATAAGAGGCAGACATAATATTTGACTTGTTTTTCTGGAGGAAAAAATTCTGCTTACAGTAGAACCTAGGATCATCAGATTTGTGAGTTATGATTTTATAGTTATATATAAGTTTTATGTGCTCATATTATGTGTGAATTTTATCTGCTAATGTGCCATAATAAGAAAAAAAGTTGAAACCAGAAGTACAGATTCTCTGAAAATCTAAACCACAGAGTCTACCTCTGCTGTCAGCCCAAGGAATCTGTGGG